AGGTAAATTATGTGTGATCTTAGGTGGGATTTTTTTTGTTATTTTTTTGTTCTTCAAAAAATATTGAGTGAAAATGTCATGATTCCATTTTTGACCTTAGGGGTCTCTGGCCGGGACCTGGAAAGAAATGAGTATACACCAAAAATCAAATAATAATAATAATAATAATAATAATGATAATGGCTAGTAGTTTCTAAGTATATTCTTCTGCTAGGCTGGTTAGATAATCCTTATCTAAGGTGCCTGCTCGGAGTTATCTTGTAGATCATACTATAACTAAGCCGAGTTAAAACAATAGTTACAGTTTCTGGGCGAGAGCCCATTTTTTTGGCAGGATCAACAGTTGAACAAAGTTAGTAAATTTGAATCCTAAATATAAGTATTAATAAATATATCTAAGACACACAGTTTAGGACGTCTATTTCAAATATGAAGTATCCACTGTAATAACGTGTGAAGTAATATACATATATAATAGTTAAATGTAACCGCCACTTCTACTCCCACAGTCTGTTTTCTCGCACTTCCCAACAGTGTAACTCCCTTCGGTTTTCTTACTTCGCTGATAAGTAAAATCTTCAAAAATTTAAATGCAACCTCAATCGCCATATTCTGTTTGTCTTGAACCCCGGTCATCTTTTATCCTTTCGTCAATCTCCCCATAACCAGACTTTTCTCTCATTTTCCTCTTTTGTAACCCCATGGGTACTAGTGGCACCCCTGCCTTCTTGCTTGGTGGGAAATGATTTTATATATATATATATATATATATATATATATATATATATATATATATATATATATATATATAATAAAACGCGTCGGCCAAGGTAAGTTTTCCGTTTGTCATTATTATTCATATTGTTTTTTCAGATATACTCTATCTGAAATTTTTCCACACAAACAAACACACACATATATTCTGTTTATACGTTATTTTTATAGATACAAATATTTAAGTAAATGCTCTGTTTATAATAAACAGTGTAAACCCCATTTAACGGCCTGAATCGGACCTGTATCCGGTAAATGCAGCTAATACTGTTTATTATAAACAGAGCATTTAATTAAATATTTGTATCTATAGAAATAACCTATAAGCAGAAAATATTTTAAAATAATTTAGGACTTATATCAGTATATATATATATATATATATATATATATATATATATATATATATATACAAATGTAAAAGAATGGAGAGTAAGATTTCAAGGTATGTACATGTTCTAATGTAACAGTGCATATATATATATATATATATATATATATATATATGTACATATATTGTCATGTACAGAGAGACTCTTTCGCTGTATATATATTATATATATGTGTGTGTGTCTATGTGTGTGTGTATGCATGTATATACTTTAAAACTTGTATTTATGGGGTTTATTTTATTTTATTTACTTTATATGATCACAATGAGCCCTCGTGTTTTTCTTCTATGTGCCAAACAATTGACTTGAAAGGTTATGATTTTAGTGATCAGGGAAATATCCTCTAATGAGTCTGTTCTGCAGGGGGTAATTTGACACTGTGTGTGCGTGGCAGTGTGGGTAAGATCTAATGGTCTGAACTGGTGGAATTAAGGAATGTAGTTCGCCTGAATATTTAGGATAGACATGGATAGGATAGAGAAGTGATAGACTTGCGATGTTTCGCCTGTGAAGAAGGAGTTGTAGAGTTGAAAATAATTCATCGCCCTTAATGCCACGTAAATGCTTTTTAAGCTAGAAGCTGAGGAATATGCAGCTCCTGTTCAAATACAACAGAAATACTCCACTTTTGGTCTGATGTGATTCTTGTAAAAATAGAGTATGAAAGAAGGAACCAGGTATTTTAAAAAAAAAAACTGAGAACAAAGAACCTATCCTTTTCGATGGATCTTCAGGGATTTAGAGTATCTATGAGTTCTTCGAGATATTGGATAAAGTTTAGTTCCAAATATCCTTATAGGGAATACAATCGTTTATTATGACTGGAATATACTTGGTTTGGTTTGGTTTGGTTTGTTTTATGACATATCAACATCAATGGGTTATTTAATGCCAACAAGATTTTTATTGCTGGCATTTTTTTTTCATTGCTGCTAATACTTTTTAGCAAAGATATATTGCTGCTAATATTTTTTTCTTAAAGAATGTATTGCTGGTAATAATTTTGTTTTTCAAAAATTCATTGCTGGTAATATTTATACAAAAATGTATTGCTGGTATAAAAACTTAATTTTACACTTTTATACTGTTTTGACTCGAGTTTCGGGGTTAAGTGTTTGCCCAGAGCTGGGACCCTATCAGGTGCTATCACTCTGGGTCAGGGTGGAACTGGGAACACCAGTAATTAAGAGGTGGTTTCACGTTCCTCAAAACCTCCTTATCAGAGGCCTTACTGTCGGATGCAGTTTATCGTTGTTCTCTGGATGCGGATGTAGTTCATTGTCATACCCAGGGCGGGAATGTGCTCGGTAATGATGGAAGATTACTCGCTTGGTCTTGGAGGTATTGGTTGCTATAAGCCAGTTTTTTCCTTGTTTAATTGTTAGGGCTTTGACTGATTTATTGATTTAATTTTTACAGCTTATCAACCTTTTACGGGTTATTTAAAGTCAGAAAACATTTTTAGATTTGAAAGCATTTTTGGGAGATAGTCATTTTTTTTCTGATACATGTCCTACTAATTAACTGGAACCAATGTTTCATCGTGATATGTCTGTAAACCTGAAAGGGCTTAGATCAGACGAAAAATCATCTGCCAGGCTATGATCATCTAGATTTTTGGAAGTGCACCCAGAATCTGTTCTAGTGCATGTTTATTTGTTGAGAATCGATCTTACAACTCGAGCATGTGCATTTGACTATGAATAACGTTTTACCAGTGTGTTTACGCCGCTAGCGAAATAAAATCGTGCCGTATCTCAGCGAGCTTCAAAAAGACAGACATCGAAATTCATATCTGTCTGTTAATGTCTGGCATTAAGAGTGAGATGCCAGCACAGATTCCACCCTTTGCCCGCAACCTTACTATTTTATGACTTCTTTAATTATGAACGTCTTGGGCGCGGGCAACGGTCGCGGGGGTGGTGTTAAGTGAAGGCCCCCTCTGATTGTTCCTTCATTCAGTGCCGCTCCCCACAGTCTCGCTAACCGACACCACAGCTGCTGCACCCAGAGATGAGTTGGCCTTTTCTACAGCTGTCTGCAATCATAAAAGATCGAGAGAAAGAGAAAAAGTGAGCGAGAGTGACAGTGAGAGAGAGAGAGAGAGAGAGAGTGAAAGAAAGAAAGAAAGAAAGAAAGAAAGAAAGAAAGAAAGAAAGAAAGAAAGGGAGAGAAAGTTTGGAAGGAAATATTAAAGACTTAAAAACAGGAATGACAGTGTAGACATTTTTTTATCATTTATTTTGGGAACATATTAAATGTTTGCCTATTTTAATGGCGACAGTTAGAATCGGCTTATTTAGTTCCAAGTATTACTTTTGGGATATGTAGATATGTACACCTCACCGTGGAGGAATGAATATTGCTATATTGCGTTTTGAGTTCAATCATCAGTGAGTAACCATATTTGACCGTGTGTAAAATTATGTAAAAAATATTAAACAACATGGACGACTTATTGAACTTTATTGATTCGCGAGCTAGATTAGCAAACTAATATTTTCTGCAGTTATTTTAGCCCTACATTATCTTGACCTTGTGACAGACTAGACTAAATTTAGTAAATAAGTATAAATTAGTCTTACGGATAGTTTACTGCAGTTCGATCCTCCTGGTGTTTAAATCATAACCAATTGGTTCTGAGACTAAATAGCTAACTTACTAAGGCATGAATTCAATCTTTATGGAATTTTCAAAGCTTAACATAGTTTGGTACAAGGCTACAAAACGAGATCATCCAGTATGAATTGAATTTATTACTTAGTTATAATTAGCTGCGTAACCTGCTAGTTAACAATTACAACACAACGAGGCACACACACACATACACATATATATATATATATATATATATATATATTATAAATTAATTGATTTAAAATATGTTTTTTTTCCGCTACACAGTTCCAACCATGTTTAAAAAATAGAAGCTAAAAACCCCGAATTTAATTTTGCAATTAAATTAAAAGCATTAGTTCCATTTCATCTTCAAGCGAATTTTGGAGTAACTTTTAAAAATTACCGGGTTATAAAGACCCAGCTAAAATCACGTTTCCATGATATATATATATATATATATATATATATATATATATATATATATATATATATATATATATATATATATATATATATATATATATATATATATATATATATATATATATATATATATATATATATATATATATATATATATATATATATATATATATATAGAGAGAGAGAGTAGTGGATATGGCTCGGATTGAGGAATCGGAGAGCCGAGTTCGAATTCCTGTCGAATCCATTACATTCACTTACGTGCTACGTGGGAAAGGTATTAATCCTCTTCGTTTCCTTCCAGCTATGGGTAAATAGAACAAACTGGGTTCTATAGCCTTGAACCACAACTGGTCTAGGAGAAGGACAACTCTGAATTCAAATATATATATATATACATATATATATATGAGCTTCGGTGTGTTGTAATTGTTTTATACATACATACATATACACACACACACACACACACACACACATATATATATATATATATATATATATATATATATATATATATATATATATATATATATATATATATATATATATAAACTTCACTATCAACCAATAGATAGATAGTCTGATTCTTTGCGACTCAGATAGAAATAGACTATCTATCTGTTTCACCCAGTCCCTTTTCTTTTTTTCTTCTCATCGATATTTAGCTTAATCCAAGCCTATCAGTGCTGGTTCGTGTATCGAAAGACCAACAAAATACTAATGTGCAAGACTAGCTTGTTAACCACAACCTGACACTGACGCTTTGAGGAATGCTCTTATCAACGTAATATGTATATACCCCATTCTGATTATTATCTAAGTCTGCCTGTCGCAGTAGACCGATCGTTAGTTATGACTCGTGAATGAATCTGTATGAATTTGGCCTTGCACCAAAGTTGGCTTTGTCTCATATATACCGAATATATTTGCAGCGATAGCTGGTTGGGGAGATCGGTGGTCAATTTCACCGTGCTGCCAACAGTCAGTTCTTATAAATTATAAGCCGTGAAAAATGAAAGTATGGGTTGTCGTAATTTCCAGTACTGTACGCTATGCGAGTGTGAAAGAATGCCTCCACTCTCTAAGAATAATTTATGTGAATGTACTTGTAAAATCTTGCGAAATTTACTTGGTGTAAATTTACATCTATTTCTGTCTATATAAGAATTCTGGTATTTGTTACTTTCTACTATGTTTTTTTTAATTGCATTTTCTTACGTTTTACTTTCAAATGGTTAAAACAACTCTAACGTTGTCAGGAAAAGTCAACAAAAACAAAATACTATTAGAAATTTATTAAAAAAGAAGTTCGGACGAGTTAAGTCCTGATTAAACAAAGCAAAGATTGCTATGTCATATATTTCCTCTAATGTGAACACTGGGCAATTTCCTGATAGATGAAGAAATTCGAAGCGACAGAGATGTAATTCTAGAAACTAATGCTGAGAATGGTAAATTGAACATGTGAGCAGCAAAAAAAAAAAAAAATAAGGAAAATAGAAAGAAAAAGATTCTACTTCTCGAACCAAAAAACAAAAAAAAAAAAAGAAACAAAAAAAGAGGGAAGAGGGTTTAGAGAATTCAAAACTCACAGGATATACTGAAGGCAAGCGTGGGGCAGAGGGAAATAGCGAATAAGTTAGCTAAAGAGTTTATTTCAATGAATGACAGAGCGAGAAAAAAGAGAGTTGGTAAAGATTCAAACGTTGCTTAGCACTATAAGGAAGAGGATGTTGTGAAGAGCCATGTTCGACCACATTATATGAAGGGATACGTAATATAAAAGAAAGAAAAAAGAAAGATAGCTTTTGCCATTTCAAAAGTCCATGTATTGGGTAACGTCAAAAATTTGTCTCATTTTTGTCTGTAAAGTTGGTTCACTGTTTCGTTATAGACAATTATTTCTTTCCAAAACATCCTACATATAAGTTTACCGCAAGTTCTTGCTTTGAATATTGCTGTCATATCTAGTTTGGTGCAACTGCTATATTTTTAGAGATTCTTAAAAATATCCAAAGAAGAATCTGCAATATTATTGGTCTTGTCCTGACCTGACATCTTGGTTTCAGTCACTTTCCCATCGCTATAAGGTAGATTCCCTTTGTCTTTTCTATAAATATGTTCGCGCTAATTGTTGTGATGAACTTTCCTCTATGGTACCTAGACTATAAGAATTGAAGTGCAGTACTAAGGTCTCATCATTTTAGAATTGAAATAGCTCGATGTAATCGAAAATTCTATGCTAACACTTTCTTCCATATGTTTTTCTCGCTTGTGGAACAGTATTCCAGCTTCTTGCTTCCCGGTCAATTTTTATATTCAAATATTTTAATATTTAAATACAATGTCAATCGTTATCTTCTGTTTTCTTAATTCTTGCTCTTTTATTGTTCTCGCTCTTTAATAATATTTTATTTCTCATATTTTTTATGATTCGGTAACTCATTGCAGCCTTAGTGGCTTCATTGCCTTGCTTGGGTGAAATTATTTAAAAAAAATGGTATTAAGAACATTAAGTTATAACTAAAATTATTCGGAAAATTCGCTTTTCACTGTATTGGGACAACTGCCATATTAGCTAAGTTGGCATAGTTTGTTTATCCGCCCTAACATGGAGGATAGAAGAAAGTAAGTAACATTTTCAGCACATTTTGTCTTTTTTAAAAATGGCAAAAATGCGACTGATAGGCCCGCACAAAAAAAGTCGTTTATCCAGAAGTTACTGTCAATGATCGAATATATCAAAAGTTGTCTTCTAACGATGTTCTATAGTAGGGTAGACTATCAGAGATTGATAACGAGTGAATCATTAAGAATAATCAATATTACACGACCCGGGAGATAAACAACGTCTTCAAAATATACAAATCATTTTAATTATCTTGGCTATATCATACGCGTTGATATGTGGCTTTGATACTGATTTCTCAACAGTAATTCTTAATGATGAAAGTAGAGCTACATTGGATGGACCTGATGGTTGGTTTAGCTCTTGGCTTGTCTTTCGAAATAGACAACATTATTTAGAAGACAACAACAAGTGGAGGTTAAGTAATGTATTTTGATAGTACTGTAGGTATTAAAATTATAGATGCCTTCAAAGTTAGTGATGGCGTAAAGATAAATGCCAATAATTATTGTAAGTTCTTGGAGAACAGCGTTTTAGAGTAGTACAGGTCTCAATGAAAACAGTTGAAAGTAAAAAGCATTCTATAAAACTGATTACTATTTTCTTTGACAAAAAGGTTACAATGATGCCAAATTAATTGAATAACCTCGCCCTCTTCAGATATTAATCCAATAAATAGGTAAAAACCAGTGGTCATTAAATAGATGCATGTGAGAATTAAAACAAGATTCAAGCGAAGAAAATATCTGGGAAGTAATAAGAACCCCTGCAAGAACGTTAAATTTGAAACAATAGAAAAGTTAACATAATCACTGATTGAAAGACTTATGAAGGTTATAGAATATCAAAGAGATCATATTAATATGTAAAATAATAAAATATTAATTCATTTAGGCATCTAGGATATTCTGTGTTTCTGTAGTCTATATCTTTTGGATTTATTTATAAATAACAAAACATGTTGCTTTTAATTTATTTGCATCTTAAAACTTGAAACTCCCAAAAGGAGTTACTGTCAGTATTTTTAGAAAAAGTGTAGATTACAAGATAAAATTCACACAATATAGTTACTTTCCAAGCGTAGCTTAGATGCAGCACAAGGCCAAAATTATGGAGCACTAAGTGAGGATAGAACTCACTACTCAGCGAGACAAGCTTGTTAACCATTACGCCACCTCGAGGTGCCCTAAAAATTCACACGATACATGGCTCATATAAATATACCCTGAAAATCTATCAATATTGTTTGGATACGACAACATTTATTCCGAAAATATTGATTTACTTAATAAAATTTGACATTGAGTAGTAATTCTAGGGTAGAATTGTTTATTATTTAATAATAATAATAATAATCGAAAACTGATCCCCCACTTTAGGTTCAATAGAAACTTATTAATATTTTAGATTAATATATTTCGAAATATTTAAAAAATTTTCCCTTCATCAGTTAGTTATTAACCATTTTATTGTGAAAATATTGACTTACATAATGAAATCTTACTCTAAAAATGTGATTGCAAAGTATTCTGTTATGAGATCTAGCATTTTTCTTTGGATTATCTGCAAAAATAAGTTGGCAAGTTTATAAAAAAAAAAAGAAAAGTCGTTCAGAATAGTCATTTATCAACGCAGTATATCGCTACGCCACAGAAACTGTAGCTGTCGAATACATGAACCGGTTTCTACTTGAGCGTATTTTTGCCCTTTTCGTTGGCGCTAATTACACTCTTTTCTCTGTGCATACATTTTTGTTCACAGAAGAAACCCAGTTTATATACGTGGGAACTGTTATCAACTTGATATGCACTTTATATGCTTGACAAAAAAATGTTGAATGTCTTATCTGGAAATAGAGATTTTGAAATGAATGCAGATAGAGAGATCACCAAGAATGGTACTGCACTTCTTCAACTTATAAAAAACTCCCACCTCGGAGATCAAAAGAAGTTAAAGGAAATAAACTCTGCTGGTAGTTTTATTTATTTATTTATTTAGTTGTTCACTTATTTATTTTTTTTTGCAATAATGAGGAATGCAGTTCTTTAATTCTGATTTCTCTTGGACACAATCATCATCATCACCACCAACCGCATCATCAGAATCATCACCATCATCATCATCAAGTTGTGGTTACTGATTTTCTTTCTTTCTTTCTTTCTTTCTTTCTTTCTTTCTTTCTTTCTTTCTTTCTACACCACGTCTTCATTTATTTTATCATTTACTTATATGTATTGATTTTTAATTTTTCTTCTTTCTTTCTTTCTTTCTTTTTGATTACTTATTTTTTGCAACAATGAGGAATGCAGTTCCTTAATTCTGATTTCTCTTGGACACAATCATCATCATCACAACCATCAACTGCATCATTAGAATCATCACCATAATCGTCATCAAGTTGTGTTTACTGATTTTCTTTCTTTCTTTCTTTTTCTTTCTTTCTTTCTTTCTTTTTTTCTTTTTGCTTATTTGTTTCTTTTTTTCTACACCTCTTCCTCCTTATTGATATTATTAAGTTGTGAGTATTGAGTTTCATTTGTCTTTCTTTCTTACTTTCTTTCTTTCTTTCTTTCTTTCTTTCTTTCTTTCTTTCTTCTTCCGATTCATATTTCTTTCTTTCTTTCTTTCTTTCTTTCTTTCTTTCTTTCTTTCTTTCTATTCAAATTACTATTTTTGTTTCTTCTTTTCTTCTTTTGTAGTTACTGATTTCTTTTTCTTTTTTTTTGTCTCCTCACTCGTTGTTGTTGTTGTTACTGTTGCATCTTTAGATATTGAGCGTCAAGTGTCGACATGCTGCATGCTCGACTAAAAAAGCTGTGGAAAAAAAAAAAAACTGCACGAAAACGCGCCATTTTCTGAACGCCGAACAGACATGATCACAAGATAATGTTTGCCTGGAACGCCAGTAAGAGAGAGAGAGAGAGAAAAAAAGACAACAAAAACAAACAAAAACAGGTGTATACAGAGAAGTTGTAGGAAAATTGGACGAAGTACCGTAAATAATACAAGAAAAACTTCCCCTCCCTCGTCCTGAACAAAATAGAGAGAAATAACCATTCTACTTCGTTATCAATGACTATGTTCCTTCAATTATAAAGGAAAATTGAAATTAGCCATGAGAACGCGTCAGAAACGGGAGAAGATACAATCTATTTTCTCTTAGGCGTAAAAGAAAAAAAAATGAATATCTAAAAACAAATGCCAAGCACAGTTTAGTTTGGCACAGTCAAAATAGTAAGGCACCCAGTGAGGAACAAAATCACTAGCGATAACCTTTAATCTATCGTTCTACGGCAGGCGCTCAACATTTTTATCTGATTTTTTTTTCATTTTAAAATAGTTGAGATGGATAATTCGGTATTTGGTTCGGACCTGACATCTCGGCTTTAGTCACTTCCCACCGCCATAATGTAGCTCCCCTCCGCCTTTTCTATAAATACTGTTAATTAATCAATAAATCATGCTGATGAACTTTCCTTTATGGTACCTAGACTTTATGAATTTAAGCGCAGTACTAGATTGGCAACAAGGTCTCATCAATTTACATTTAAATCGGCGAGATGCAACCGTAAGTTCTATGCTAACAGTTTCTTCCCTCGCACTTCTCGCTTGTGAAACTCTCTTCTGGCTTCAAGGATTCCAGGCAACTTTGATCTTCAAAGATTTAATTGCAATGTCAATCGTTGTCTACCGTCTTCTTGATTCTTCTTTTATTGTTCTCTCTCCTTAATAACGTTTCTCTTTTTCTTATTCTTTCACACACAGCAATCCATTGTGCCTTAGTCGCTTTACTGCCTTGCTTGGGGCGAAATGATTAAAAAAATATGTTATGCTAAGCTAAGCTTGCTTAGTGTGCAGATTATTAGCTTGCTATTTAATTCAAAGGGCTCTGTTTTATCTTATAATTAAATCGACCACTGCTCATAACAATCAAGCAAATGTCAAATACAACAACTAAAAATGAGAAACAAATAGACACTTCGCGGGGTGAGGGGCATTTCTTATTGTCCTGCCATTCATTCAAACAAATTTATTATGTAGATTACTCGCAGTTTTCCTCTACCTCTCTAGCCTTCAATATGTCCTGTGAATGCTAAATTCTCTAGGCCAGCTTTCCTCATTACCTGCTCCAGATATTTCAACTATATCTTTCTGATTGTAAGTATAACTTTCCTTTTAGTTCCTGTTTTTCTTAAAATTTCTTCTTTATCTATTTTATTCGTTTTATTGATTATTTATTTATTAGTTATTATTATTATTTACTATTTATTATTATTATTATTAATTATTTGTTTATTATGGATTGACTTGTTATGGTTTATGAACCATTTGCATTTAAAGTAACAAATTTTTTAATCATTTCACCTCAAGCAAGGCAGTAAAGCCACTAAGGTACAATGGATTGCTGAGTGTGAAAGAATAAGAAAAAGAGAAACGTTATTAAAGTAACAAAATATTTTTAGATTGTAATAATTTGGGGGGAAATAATAATGATTTACTGATACAAGCCCTACTAATTAACCCATAGGTGGGAGGAGAGGATGTGAATTCATACTTTTTCCAGGGATATTTGTACGGAAGTGAATATAACGAATTCGACTGAAAATAGAAGAAGGCTCTCCGATTTTGAATTCGAAGATGTTATCTATTACACTACCAGCACATCTCATGTTGCAGTACTGACCATGCTCGACGTTGCTTAACTTCAGTGATCGTCCGAGAACCGATGTTTCAACGGGATATGGCCATAAGCCCTTATCCGCTTGCAGAGAGGTTAAAAACAGAGACTACCCAGACGACATATTATTGAGATAGCTAAGCAATGGCCAATTAAGAAGAGGAATTTAAACATTGCACCCAGCATTACTGCAACCGAATCAGGTTAAAGCAAATCTAGGCAAATCCAACCTACAGGCTCTTTTTTCACAGATGCAATATCGCAAGTCAATCGCTACTCTATCGCTGTTTCAGTGTCAAATGTTCAGAGGATCTCCATTCTTTACTTCCATCTGTTCTGACCTTTACAGCTAAAATCCGTTCTTCCACGTCCCCGAGGTAGAATCACTACTACCCATTCTCTTCGTATTATGAGAAACATGTTGCACTCATATAGTTTCTTCCAAGAAACGATACTTTTGGGAAACTAACTTTCACGTGTATATTTCCCTGAACACTAAAATCTTAACCTCTTTCAAGTCCAGGGCCATTTGTTATCTATCCTTCATATTCTCATAATCTTCACTTCCTTCTTCCTCGCCTTACGCACATGCTACTCACCTCATTCAGTAACCTTGAGCATTGTACTGTGTGAACATTAGTAAAAGAAAGGCAGCTATATAAATATAAATAAAAAGTTGCAATTTGTCTCATTTTAGGGAAGGCAAAATATAAGCCGCATTGGAAGTAAATGTCGCGAACTGTTTGAAACGGAAATAAGCACGATAGAATAGGAACAATCAGAGTTTGGAAATATTGTAAACAATTTTTTTTGCGAACAAATCATATGGGAAAGACGAATAAAGAATAAAATACCCTGTTACTTTGAGGGCAAAATCGACTCTCCAAGTATTGCAGGAAGGCTATATCTCATTATAATGAGTAAGGAAAACTAAATCCACAGGTTTATATATGGGGCTTTCTCAGCAGAACATAAGGCAAAGAAATTCAATGACCTCGCACAGGAATCTGGTTTGGTTTGATTTGTTTTGTTTTACGGCATATCAAAATTTCAATGGGTCATTTAATGCCGACACCTTTTTTTTCCTGGTAATATTTTTGTTTTGTCAAAAATATATTTCTGTTAATATTTTTTCCTCAAAAATCTATAGCTGGTAATATTTTTTTTCAAAAACGTATAGCCGGCAACACTATTCTTTAAAAAAAAAACAAAAGACAAAAAAACAAAAACGTATAGCTGGTAATATTATTTTTTCCAAAACGTACAGCTGTCAACATTATTTTTTCAAAAACATATTATCATAGGCCTTGCTGTTGGACGTAGTTTATCGTCTTACTCAGGAAGCGGATGTAGTTTATCGTCACACCCAGGACGACAGGAATCTGGATTAATAGTTGCTATTGGAGTGCTCGAAATAAGAATTGGGCGAATTGGGAATTAAAACAAGAGTCGGGACAATCCAAGCAACATTGTTGAAAACAGATGGAATATTAAGAATAGCGCTAGAATATTGAGAAGATTTACTGTTATTTTCTTGATGAGACTTTATATTTCTATTATGTTTCGTATTGGTAATGATAGTATTCAGTTACATTTTGAGGAGTTGTCCAGGTTGATATAATTTCACTGATTATTCCGAAAACCTTAATTATATAATTAAGGACAACCCGAAAAAAATGAATTGGAATTGTTGGTCTAAACATTTTTTTTTTTTAGCCAAGAGTATCGGAACGGATTTTGGGGTCGATAAATGTGTAATGGAAAATAAGGATCGAAATGAAGAATTCGAACAACGAACCTAGAAAACTATTACAAATATTTTGGAATATCATAAATAGGTTTTATCAAATGAAATTAAAGAAAAGGAAAAATATAGAAACAATATCCCAAAATATGGAAGGTTTTGCAGACGAAACTCAATAATAGATACTTTCAATATATAAGCAGTATACATAGGAATGACACAAAATTAAAAAGAAATCCTGACACAGAGCGGATGAACATTTTTGTAGGGTCAACATCCATCTAACACAATGAGATAGACTGGGTTCCATAGCTATGGATGCAGGCAGAACTGTAATGACACTGTATCACTGGGAAGCAGATTTCTTAGACTGAAGTCAACGATAAGGGCGGAGGGTTTCGTCGATGGAATCAACAGTCCTGTGTTCGTGACCAAGGTGAGCCTTCAAGTTGGTAGACATTGGCTGTGCTTCGATCTAGAGAGGGATTGGTTCCGCTAGTAATACTTGCTGAAGACCTGCTAAGAATGTATAAATATCTCTCCGATTTTCAACCCAGACGTGTGTAGGGGAATGGTCAGGCGATCAGCTGTGCATCAACACACCCTTTCATGAAACTGATGATAATGATATATAGGAAGATATTCGAGGCCTTTCCTCACCTGGACCAGAGTAGAACTGAAAACTAGAAGAAAAGAATTTGATAACGATGCATAAAATGTTACCTTACAGACATTGTGTTGATAGGTTATGCGAATAATAACATTAGGATGATGGTTGGGTTGCATTGCGTTGGTGAGTTTTATGACATATGGATCATTCTATGTCGAAATTTCTTTTTTATTATATCTGAAAGTACAATAGGTAATCATTAATTGGACTAATAAATTATAAAACAGGTAAACTTTGGAAGGGTTAACTAAATTTTTATTATCAAAACCTCAGGAGGAGTGGAAGTTATTACAACGAAACTCAGAGTAGGGACAGATAAATAAGTATTTAGTTTTATTATATATATATATATATATATATATATATATATATATATATATATATATATATATATATATATATATATACTTTGTAATCATTCAATGGTGTAAAAAAGAACTTGTACCTTTACATTTCATTTCGATAAGTTGTTTTACAAGTTTTCACCTGAAATACACACACAAATAAACACATACACACACACACACACACACACACACACACACATATATATATATATATATTATATTTGGTCTGATGAATTGGGACTGTGTTTACGACCCCAATGAAATAAATTATTACCTCATAAAGTTTTAGAGTTTGTGCGTTTTATAGCAAGAATTATTGCTCTGTTTCTAACATTGACTTCTCCCTGGATTTATACCCTTTTGGAAATATCCGTACTGATCATTAATATTATCACAATATATTATTTATATATTACGTTTCTGCTTTATTAGCGTTTAGGTCGAAGGTTTTTTTCAAACATTTTCTCTTTTTTTCGTCAAATTAAAAAATCATTCTAAATATATTTTCCTTTGATATTTTATGTGAAATTATTATCATTTGATACTAGTTTTTTTTTTTAAAGTAAAGTCTTATCAGCTAATATCTTATTTATTTTATTAAAATTCTTTTTTAATCTCTTTCTGAAACTTGATATTTTCTATATTTATAATTAACGCTTTAATTAATAATGAGAAAAAAACGTCTTTTGCTGTAGCAAGACCCTTTTTTCTTTTCTGTTTCCTTTTTTCTATCCTTTTGTCCTTTTTCTTGCTTTTCTTCCTTTATTTTTACTTTTTTCTTTGTTCTCTTCTATTTTTTGTATTTTCCTTTTTTCTTTTTCCTTTTCTTTTTTCTTTTTCTATCCTTTTTTCTTCTTTTTCCCTTTTTATCTCCATTTTTCTGCTTTTTTTTCTTTTTTCTTGCCTTTTCTCTCGCCTTTTTTTCTCCTTTTCCCTTTTTTCTCCAGTTTTCATTTTTTTTCCTTTTTTCCTCTTTTCTTCTTTTTCCACCTTTTTTTACTTTTTCTCTCCTTTTTCCTTTTTCTCTTTTCCTTTTTCTTTTTTTCCTCTGTTTTCCTTGTTTCTCCATATTTCCCTTTTCTCCTTTTTCTTTTTTCTCCTTTTGCCACCTTCCCCCTTTCTCTTTTTTGTAAAGACGTGTGTGGCTCGCAGCGGAAACTGTATGGAATAGGATTATGGGTTATCATCCCTCATAACTGAATGCATCCTCGTTAGGCAGGGTACTTTTCAATCAACCGTCATACCAGTGAGCAGCCTCTTTCACTTGGTACTTATATAATATGTCGCTACGATGGCAAAGAGGTGTAAAGATCACGACGAACTAACAGTTTACATCTATACATAAATCTATCAAACGAAATAAAATACTGACGTCCGAATCGTTTGTTGAAAAAAATGGCAGGTGTCGAGAGTAGACGTTTCTTAGAAATCGAGAAAAGAAATTCACTGGACGTAATTTATGGCTTCAGAAATTGCAACTAATTGCATTTATGCGAAATGCACCTGCAAATTGACATTTTGTTAAATAATATTACGGATTCAATTGCGAACATTAAGATCATTATAAGCTAATATGAACAGCCACATATGTTTGTTTGGTTATCTATCTATCTATCTATCTATCTATCTATCTATCTATCTATCTATCTATCTGAGGCATTCTTACTATATGCCAAGTTGTTAGCCATTTCCGTCCGAAAGACATAAAATATCTCGAAACTATTTGCATTTCTTATATGAAGCGTAGTCAAGTATAATTAAGTTTTTTTTACAGCATTTCGTTCATTTTATTTCTAGTAATTTAGAATCATATCGCTACAGACTTCTTCTCTATTTCGGACACTCACCGCTTAGGTAATAATCGTAGAAGGACGACCTGGAATCTTCGATAAAAAGAAGCAGAAATATGAAAGAAATACTAGTCAAAACTTTATAACTAACAATACTTCATTTAGGAAATTTGAATACTATGACATATAAGATATATTTAAATTTGGAGGGCCTCGACTGATTAACTTTGGTAGCCTAATCAGTAAAGCGCTACCACAGAAAAAAACAGGCTCAAAAGAACAAGAGAATGCAGTTATAATCCATCTGGGTGTGGTTTTAAAAACCTTTTAATATCCAGACATGGTTGTAAAAATTGACGAAAATCCGTATAAACTGATAAGTCATAAACTGTATTTAAATGTATTGTACTTATTGTACTTATACTTATTGTATTTTATTGATAAATAAAATACATTAATAATCAAAATTAATGGATGTCTATTGTTGAAAAGAAAAAGCAAGTCTTAAAATACGTTCCACGAACGGAACAAAGGGGGTAGAAGGTTAAGAACCCCCGTTTATTAATTTCGCACATTTGACCCTTTAAATGATTTCAAGACTCAACTTTATCATCCGCCCACCAATACCACGATTCATTGCATATTGAGGCCTCTCCTACCTGATTATTAAGACCCCTTGTATTAGACACCTAAGTTTATATGGCGATCGAGAAAGTGTAATGGCAGAAGCAGAAACAAGATGGAAAAATATAAGTGGATGAATGTGTTGTTTTGTGAATTTGGTGGTCAATTCCGGATAGTATACAGTGTGGTACTAAAGTCTTGTCACCCCCTACCGAAAAGTAAGGAGAACAATAGAAATGTTAATGAAATCATGTCGCACATCCTCCATGCTCTTGCCAGAATGCACACAATCATGTGTCCATACACTTGCAAGCAACCTCTCTTCCAGACTGTAAGAGCTCGTGTCAGTCATCTGAAATAGAAAATTATATTATGTAGGGGTGACAAGACTTTCGGACCACTATGCAGATTAAAACTTTGTGATATGGACAGGGAAATGAGAACGCCCTAAAACCCGCAGATTAAATAAAGAGTTCAGTCTGAAATTTTCTAAAGGTTACCCGATTTGATAGACACATGAAGAAGGCTGGAGAGCACAACGGCAAAAGAAAAAAAAACATTATGATAATAAAAACAATGAGAAAATTCATATATAATGCAAATAATCTTGAAATTATTTTCGGAAAATATTTACTCCCGAATCAATATTTTTCCTTCAGAATTTGTTTCTATTTATGAATGACAAAATTTACTATTGATTATTGTCTTATTGAAAATATTTTCTCTTTATTTGGTCAGTGTTTTCAAGTCGGCCCATCATATCCTTCCTTAGTTTAGTTTGCATGGTCAAATTGAACAGAACCAAAACAACAGTACCAGACGGGATTGTAATAGAGATGCTGGCAGCCTCAGACGATGGCAGCTTCAGATGATGGCAGTCTCAGCTGATTTCGGCATTGACAAGCTAACAGACATAATAAATGAAATATTCAACAGTGGTTTAGGGGAGACCCCAAAAAGACAAAATTTATTGAGAGCTACAAAAGGCAGGAAATTGTGGAGAGCCATCATCGACAACGTTCCGAAAGGACACGGCACACAGAAGAAGAAGGCGTAGATGGGAGACAGCTTGGGAACATTGGGTACTGTAAGCAACCTCCTATAATCAAAATTATGTTTCGGCTTTAAATAAACCGCAAAGGGTTGATAAGCTGTAAACATAACAAACTAATCGATTATAGTTTTAAAAATCAGCTTCCTATAATCATCATTTCAGTATTTATTTGTGGTTTTACTGTTGTTTTAAAATCAGGTTTGAGCACGTCGCCCTAGAGTAATAATTAACAGACGAATTTTGCGTGTTTATTTGCATCTTCTTAGTTGATATATCCTTTCAAGTTTAATATTTAGTTCTAGAAACACTTAAACCCTGATTTCATGACTATCAGTAGCGTAAAACCTTTGTTACTTTCTAAATAATGATGATTTTTTTTCTTATTTTTGTATCATATACGTATATGGTAACGTGTGAATGTCTTCGGTCATTTGAATCTGTTGTAATGCTCTAATAACTGCTCGTTTGTAAGAAGATGTTTCACATCAACTTTACTACAGATTATTGAACTAATTTCCATACCTAATTACCATATGTTGTAGCAGAATTTATGAATGGTAATTTACTAAGCATAGCTGAGAAGTGGCACAAGGTGGAAAATATGAAACAGGCAGTTAGTATTGAACTCAATATTAAGTCGTAATTGATCTAGCGAGACAAACTTGCTAACCATTACACCACAATCTAGAGCAGAGTTTCCCAACCTTTTCTCAACCAACGCCCCCTTTAGACGCAATTTCTTTGTTACCACCCCCCCGTCAAATTAAATTTCGAATATTATACTGAATTCATCTTTCATAGAAAGGTAACACTTAGGTATTAGTGCAAAAATAATGTTAATACTGTTTTCATTTCTATAAAAAATGCCAATGATTAAAATCCCCAAAACTTTTGTTTGATAGTTTATCTAAATATTTTCAATGTGATGGTTGACTTTGGTTCTTATTGGCCAAGGCTCTTACTCTAGGTTCATATGATAGCTTATCTAAATATTTTCAATGCGATGGTTGACTTTGGTGCTTACTGGTTAAGGCTCTTACTCTAGGTTCATATGATAGCTTATCTAAATATATTCAATGTGATGGTTGACTTTGGTTCTTATTGGCCAAGGCTCTTACTCTAGGTTCATATGATAGCTTATCTAAATATTTTCAATGCGATGGTTGACTTTGGTGCTTACTGGTTAAGGCTCTTACTCTAGGTTCATATGATAGCTTATCTAAATATTTTCAATGTGATGGTTGACTTTGGTTCTTATTGGCCAAGGCTCTTACTCTAGGTTCATATAATAGCTTATCTAAATATTTTCAATGCGATGGTTGACTTTGGTGCTTACTGGTTAAGGCTCTTACTCTAGGTTCATATGATAGCTTATCTAAATATTTTCAATGTGATGGTTGACTTTGGTTCTTATTGGCCAAGGCTCTTACTCTAGGTTCATATGATAGCTTATGTAAATATTTTCAATGCGATGGTTGACTTTGGTGCTTACTGGTTAAGGCTCTTACTCTAGGTTCATATGATAGCTTATCTAAATATTTTCAATGTGATGGTTGACTTTGGTTCTTATTGGCCAAGGCTCTTACTCTAGGTTCATATGATAGCTTATCTAAATATTTTCAATGCGATGGTTGACTTTGGTGCTTACTGGTTAAGGCTCTTACTAGGTTCTAGGTTCATATGATAGCTTATCTAAATATTTTCAATGCGATGGTTGACTTTGGTGCTTACTGGTTGGCTCTTACTCTAGGTTCATATGATAGCTTATCTAAATATTTTCAATGCGATGGTTGACTTTGGTTCATTGGCCAAGGCTCTTACTCTAGGTTCATATGATAGCTTATCTAAATATTTTCAATGCGATGGTTGACTTTGGTGCTTACTGGTTAAGGCTCTTACTCTAGGTTCATATGATAGCTTATCTAAATATTTTCAATGTGATGGTTGACTTTGGTTCTTATTGGCCAAGGCTCTTACTCTAGGTTCATATGATAGCTTATCTAAATATTTTCAATGCGATGGTTGACTTTGGTGCTTTTGGTTAAGGCTCTTACTCTAGGTTCATATGATAGCTTATCTAAATATTTTCAATGCGATGGTTGACAGGTTCATATGATAGCTTATCTAAATATTTTCAATGCGATGGTTGACTTTGGTGCTTACTGGTTAGGCTCTTACTCTAGGTTCATATGATAGCTTATCTAAATATTTTCAATGCGATGGTTGACTTTGGTGCTTACTGGTTCAAGGCTCTAAATATTTTCAATGCGATGGTTGACTTTGGTGCTTACTCTTACTCTAGGTTCATATGATAGCTTATCTAAATATTTTCAATGCGATGGTTGACTTTGGTTCTTATTGGCCAAGGCTCTTACTCTAGGTTCATATGATAGCTTATCTAAATATTTTCAATGCGATGGTTGACTTTGGTGCTTACTGGTTAAGGCTCTTACTAAATATTTTAGACTTTGGTTCATATGATAGCTTATCTAAATATTTTCAATGCGATGGTTGACTTTGGTTCTTACTGGTTAAGGCTCTTACTCTAGCTTCATATGATAGCTTATCTAAATTTTACTTTGGTTCTTATTGGCCAGGCTCTTACTCTAGGTTCATATGATAGCTTATCTAAATATTTTCAATGCGATGGTTGACTTTGGTGCTTACTGGTTAAGGCTCTTACTCTAGGTTCATATGATAGCTTATCTAAATATTTTCAATGCGATGGTTGACTTTGGTTCTTATTGGCCAAGGCTCTTACTCTAGGTTCATATGATAGCTTATCTAAATATTTTCAATGCGATGGTTGACTTTGGTGCTTACTGGTTAAGGCTCTTACTCTAGGTTCATATGATAGCTTATCTAAATATTTTCAATGTGATGGTTGACTTTGGTTCTTATTGGCCAAGGCTCTTACTCTAGGTTCATATGATAGCTTATCTAAATATTTTCAATGCGATGGTTGACTTTGGTGCTTACTGGTTAAGGCTCTTACTCTAGGTTCCATGCTTCTTGGAATTAATTGTAAATCGCCTTGTTTTGTAATCTGCAGGCGGTTTCTTTGTTTAGTAAGAAGACCTGCGTTGAAACCACATTCATTCATATAGGAAGTTGAAAAAACAATGAAGAAAAGTTTGATAGCTTTTCACAGAACTTTCAGAAATTTCCTTTTGTAGCCAATATTGAA